ACCATACTCATTTTATTATTTAGAAACTTCAAATGAAAGTATCTTTATCCAGATATATGCTTTCGAATTTGATATAGAATAGAGAATATGTAAAATACGTATATGTTGTAGAAATTATGTGAAATAAAATATGTTTTCCTCAATCTAAATATAGATTGTAATAAATTGCAGCTAAGCACCGTCACGTATCTTTAGCTTTAAACAAAAAGAAACGCATTATAATCGGTGTATTTCTTTAGGAGCTACGACACCACAGAAGGACACACAAATATACGTCAAATTGATAACACTACTGCTACTCGTAATCTACTGCATATTACTACTCTATCTAGAGAATTATAAGTATAAAAATAAATGACAGAAATTGAAATAATAGGAATAGAAATAATGTTTATTCAAATAATCTCATTACAAGCACTTTTGAAATGTCATATTTTGATTCTACCACTCATTCGGAATGCAAATTCATCACAAGAAGAATGAGCAAGAAATTTGTATGTTTTGGTTCTACCGCTTATTCGGAAAGCAAACTCACAAGTAAAGGGTGCAGGGAACTTGCTTGTCTTTTAAATAAATATTATGCAGCATTGAGAATGCAAACTGTCAAATAGGAATATTGATAAAAGTATATAAACATAATAGCTACTTGAGTAATAAAATAAATCGGTCATATTGCAGTTATCAGACCAGACTAGTGCCTTCTGAGCTGCACCCATTCACGAGTATAACGTGTGAGCGAGTCATCACTGAGCTTAACCATATTTTATGGGCCCAATGACTTTTATAATATAATAATTGCATTCGTTCTGAAATAAAGTAAAATAAAAAGAGAAACTAAACACAAACTTCCTGTATAGAAATTTATATGCGACATCATAACACAATATCGAAAGTTAGTTTGAAATAAATTCTAAAAGTATTAATGTGTATACAAAGTCTGGTAGCATATACTTACATTTCAATTTGAGACTCGGTCCTTTAAACAGTTAACAGTTGATCTTTTTGTGAAATTGCTCAGTGGCCTATTGTACTTTGTTCGTCTATTGTACACTTATTTACATTATATTCTCATTTTACCAGTTCCAATCACCATTCAGAAAATGTATCTGCAATTTTACAAAATTACTTTGTACAAATTCGGTTGTCGGTTTTAGTTGCGTCTAATCTCGTCTTATGATCTGAATGGAGTGAAAATATTTTCATTTCAGTGGATCTTTTGGTGGAATTAGAATAACATAAATATATTACGGCCTACTTGATGGTCAATAACTAGGTTTGTTACCGATGTGTTGTTTACACACTAGATCACATGTTGAGCATGTATATTCTTAAAAACTTGACTTTTAAAATTTAATTATTTTTAGTAGCGTATGAATTTTTTTCGCTATGCTAAGTATATGGCAACCTTTATCGCTAAACATTCTGCAAGGATATGACCGATTGGAATTTTTTTTGAGTAGTAAATGAAGGAACGACCGACCTCAGGGCCCGAAGGTCTCCTTTCAATGAAATTTTGGTCTCGATCGGTTAAGCTGTTTCGGAGGAGTATCCTTACAAAGAGCGCAAATCTGATCTCTAAGATCGCTCAATATCCGTCGCTCATATACGTGAAAAGCAGCACTGAATCCTCGGTATCATTTAAGACCTGTGATACCAGCCATGTCACCATTCCATGGCACTAAGATATCTGTCCTGTTCTATAATGTCACTGCTTTATCTCACTCTTTAACCGAAATACAGCTTACAAAGCAACTGCTTAGCGTCTGAAATAGGTAGACCGAGTTACTCACCCAGACAAAGTTTATCTTGGTTTATATACCTACATAGATACAGTTTCTAAAGTAATGGTCTAGAAAGTAACTAAACCAATAGGATACCGCAGCAGCTATAAATTGAAACAAATCCAAGCGTAAATAACAAAGTTTTAAAACTAAAATATTCAGTTTGCGTTCCTGCAAACAACATGTAAAACGGTTACAAACTAAAATACGGGTAAATAATCCGCATGTATAAGAATGCCAACTGAAGCGAATGGTATAGAATTTTACCAACTAAATGGTACAATTTTATACCATTAATAATTCATTAATATCCACAGACATAAGATCTGTGCCGGACGGAAAGAGAAAGAGGGGAAGGCAGATGATGAAATGGGAAGATGAGTTGAAGTCAACTGTGGGCACAAAATGGAGAAGAGTTGCACAGGATAGAAATAAATGGAAGTCGCTGGAGGAGGCCTATGCCAAAAGACGCACTGAAATGAGAGATATAATTAAAAAAATAAATAAAAATCAATTTATATCAATTTAAAAATAATATAACAGTTAAAAATATTTGTTAATTTCAGAATAAATGACTTTATTACTATTCTCATTATTATTATAAGGTTCGTGCCTTTGTTAATTTTTCCCTCCGAACGTATAACGTAGTTACCATTTAATATAAAATCTATAAAAGAAGCCAATATCTACTATAGCTAGCTACTGTACTGTAGCGGCTATACTCGTAGTTCCAGTTTGTACAACGTCTCTTTATTTCATTCATAATTTAAGAGCTGTGCTCTTGTCGGTGGAGCTCCTGCCACCTTCCACGATCTTCTATCAGTCTTTTTAGCTGTTGATACGACACGACTCCAACTTTTTCTCGTCTCTATCGGCTCTAAATATATTATGTATCTAGAAACTGTATGATGAGGACTCTTAGAAGAGTGGTTTGCTTAGACGGTTTTTTGCCTACTTCACTCAGATCTAGAACATACAAATTATTTGTCTTTGATGTAAATAATGTAATAGTAATTATGTAGATTACAAAAGCTACGTATCTTTTTATGTATTATAGTTGTTTGCATGTTTTGCAACACTGCATATAACATAATACTATTTTTCTACTTTATTTGGTAGTACTGTCCTAGTAATGTACAGTGTACTATTCAAAAGTGCTTAAATTAAGTTTATTTCAATAAATGATTTTCAATTCTATTCTATTCTATTCAGTGTGCAGCGGTTTCTATGTGGATTTTCGCATGCCTGCTTCTTGTTAATATATATTGTATGAATACACACAGCTTCCACATAGTATAATATTATTACTTTAATCGTGGTCGAGTGTCATGATTTATGAGTTAGTCATGCTCCCTTTCCCATAAATATCCAAACGGCTCATTGGGCTCCCTAAAATATGGTTGAGTGCAATGATGGCTGGCACACTCGTCATACTCGTGAACGGTTGCTGCTTGTAGGGACTGGTCTGCTCTGATAACTGTAACTGATTTATATTGTTGCTGAAATAACTATATATTTATTTATCAACTTTGCTATTTTATGGTTTGTATTCAAAATAAATTCTTTAAAATGTTAATTAGAATAACTTATTTTTAAAGAACAACACGCAATATTCTTGTTGAGATGAGTATGCGTTCCTAATAAGTGGTACAATAAAAATGATGACTATTCAAAAGTAATTATATTAAATATATTTGAATAGACATTATTATTTCTATAAAGATTATGGGCATATTGCTACTACCATATTGCTTGATGTGATACAATATTTACTATGTTACCTTGTAAACAAAAATAAACGTACTTACTTAACCAAAACGGTATGTCATAAACGGAGTGTGAAGATCCACATAATAAATTGTCCTTTCAATGTCCCATTGAGTTCACATTACGTAGAAAGGTCGATAAATGCTGCGTCTTGAGATATTCTAACGTGGGTTTAATGTTTTTGTCAGCAAAACTAAGGTCAGCAAAGCTTCGGTGTCCAATTTGGGGTGTTATGTACTAAGGATACCTGAGTATGTAAGATAAGTACTAAGGGTAATGATCTGATATTATCACCTAATTGAAGAACATTATCTAAATATATATAACTCAAAGGTGACTGACATAGTGATCTATCAACGCACAGCCCAAACCACTGAACGGATCGGGCTGAAATTTGGAATGCAGGTAGATGTTATAACTTAGGCATCCGCTAATAAAGTATTTTGATTAATTCTGCCCCCAAAGGGATAAAATAGGGGATGAAAGTTTGTATGAAACTTTGTAAATTTTAAACCGATCTGGCTGAGGCTTTGCATGCATAAAGCTACTATAACGTAGTCATCCCCTAAGAATGAATTTTGATAAATTCCATCCCTAAGGACATAAATTAACGGGAGCGAAGCCGCGGGCAAAAGCTAGTTAGTCTATATATTTAACCCTCGATAAGAGGATAAAAAGAGGGGTATTATAAGTATGACAGGTTTGTATACACAAACATGTATGTTTCATTGCTGCATCGTAAATCCCAAAACGAATCCTAAAGGACCGATACCGTTTATTTTGTTTTGAAGCGAGAAAACATCCATTACATTCGGAATCTACACAGTTCTTTCTGCTCAGGTAAATCAATATTTAATTTTATTAAATTTTTAGATATTATTTTGTTTCTTTCTCTTAATTTTTTTGCAGGCGACTCAAGCTTTAATATTTTTGTGTAGGATTCTTAATTTCTTTGTAACTATATAAGAGTCTATAAATTCAGTGATTTGTTGGCCAGATTTGAATTTACCGCCTTTCGATTTAAGTCCGAACAGTAAACCCGTACTCTACGACAGGACTCTATCTGTTAATTTTGTTAAAAACTGTATAATAAATAGACTCTTAGGAGGGTGCTTTGCTTACATGGTTCTTTACATACTTAATTACAATTCAGGTCCAGAATATGCAAATAATACTTGTCTTTGATGTAAATAACGTAATAGCAATTATGTAAATTACAAAACAACAGATCTTTTTATGTAGTTGCAATACGAAATTTATAAATAAACAGAACGTGAATATTAATTAACTTGCATTGATATAAATGTCTCAACTTTCCAAGGATATATCTCGAGGCGTTATAAACAATGCGTAAAAGATAATAAAACTGGATATCCATAATACGTAACCTTTTTGACTGCACTTGTTTGTGCCTCGCCTTTAATACTTCCTGGACATAATAAAAAAAATACGTCCCTTTTGATATAAATACGTGACGACTCGTAGTTTAAGGCATCAGTTCATCAGGACTTACCAACGTAGTCACATTCACAAATCTACCTACCCTTCAAAATGTCTGTGAAGGTAAGCAATAAAGAATTCTAAATATATTCTATTTTTAAAAATAAAAAACTATTAGAAAAAAATTCAATCTTCCTTGAATGCAATTAAAATCTTTTTCCAATACTTTATTATTATAATAATTTCGTAAATTTTGATATTGCACTATTGTTTTTATTTAATTTTCCCAATACATATATTAATATAATAATAAAGTAATAATATAACTGTAAAGTACAATAAATTTTATTATTTAAATTTTGAATAGGTTTCTCAAATATATTAATTCGAGATTAAATAGATCATATAATTTTGAACCTAATTAACACGATCTAACATCGGAAATAGAATAAATTTGTAATCTGACCTTTGAAGTAAAAAGTAATTAATTTATAATAATTTCTAACATTTAATTACATTGATTAACATGTTAACTATCTTTATGAATTATATGAATTCTATTTATAAAGTATTCTAATCTAAAAATATTTGTTTGTATTTTAGTTCGTTCTCGTCCTAGCATGCGCGGCCGTCGCTGCTGCTTCCTCTAATTTCAATAGCTTCTCCTACGATGTGGCTGATCCCTTCACCGGTGACTTCAAGAGTCAAGTCGAAGCTCGATCAGGCGGCAACGTGCAAGGTCAATATTCCCTCTTGGAGTCCGATGGTACCCGTAGAACTGTGGACTACGCTGCCGGAGCTGGTGGTTTCAACGCTGTCGTGAGGAAAGACCCCGCTTTGATTGCTGCTGCCCCAGTCTTCGCTGCCCAGACCTACGGACCTATCGCGTACTCAGCTCCCTATGGATTCAATAAATTCGCCAAATACGGCTCTTTCGGATATGCCGCCCCATTCGCCTACCCTCGATTCCTATAAGACGTTTCTGCAATAAACTGGTACTTGTTTTGTAAATAAAATGAATATATCTATCGATATTTAAACTTTTGTTATAATTTTTTTACTGCTATTAACCCGCCCCGGCTTCAGATTGGTTCGATTATTGTTTCAATCTCAATTAAAAATAGTACTAAATATAAAAAATATTTAATAGAGCCAATATTTATTGTTAATCAAGTACAAGACTAAAAATTAGTAAAATTGATTAAGTATTTTTTTAAGTTCATCCATAACAAAATATTTTTTTTAAAATAAAAAGTATATAGGTATTCTTTATTGCACTTTCAAATATATGTTAGTAAAAGAGGATTTATTTCTAATAGAAATCTCTTCCAGTCAACCAAAAACAGCGTGACAAAAAAACAAAAATAAAATAAATAATTAAAACTAAAACGAAAAAATTAAATTCCAATACAATATATATAATACTATACAATACCAATACAATGTACATATAGATACTGACATAAGCCGAATAAAGAATATGATGCATAAAAATTAATATAAACAAATCTTTACTGGCAAATCAAAAGCCATAGTCAGATTTATAACACAGTACTGACGCTGTGTTATAGATCTGAATATGACTTTTGAAATATGCAAACCTGTGCGTCCAAAGTCAATTCAAACATTTTCATTCATATAGATTAGTTTGCAAATAATTTTATTTCCAGTGGGAGTAAGGAACTCAAAATAAACCAGTCCCTAGTTTTATGGTACCTGTATTATTTTTAATATTCAATGTTATGTAGAAATTTTATGCTGCAATGAATTTTGTTATACGTTATGAGAAGTTTTATAGAACCTCCACTTTGCTCTTATAAATTGTTAAGGAAAAACTTTATGAATTTTATTATTAAATATGTACCTACTTAAATAATTTTGTGATTATTATTAGTTACTTGTGGGCTCTTTGGGTGACCATAACTTTGTGAGTTTTGTATTTATCAATATAATATATATAATTTGCCACAATGCAGTAAGATACATTTTAAACAGTGAAAAAAAATCTCAAATCAGAGCATTGGTTTTATACTTCCCTTAACTCTGTCTCTTGCAATCGCTACGTTTAATATATTAGTATAAAGAATAAATTAACTAAATAAATACATTGCCATGATTATAGCACAGTGAATATTAATTTTCAGTAAACATCTAATTCACTGCAAATACAAATTACTTAATACAAATTTATCTTATGTATTAACCAATTTATTACCCTGACTGAGAAATACACGACCAATAATTTATACATATATAAATAATAAAATCGAAATTTACACCTTTTCATACATATTTCTTTTATTATTTTGACGACCTCGGTGGTCTAGTGGTCTAGCACACCGCTTTACGTCCGTTGGTCGCGGGTTCGATTCCTCGCAAGGCACAAACATTTGTATTCATGCGTATGATTGTTTGTATCGATCGGGGTGTTTTCTATGTATAATATGTATGTATTTACGAAAAAAAAAATCTATGTATTTGTATCAGTTGTCTAGTAACACAAGCCTTAGCTAGCTTAACTTGGGTCTAGATGGCGCGTGATGTGAATTGTCCTGAGATTTATTATTATTATTATTATTATTAATTCATAATTAAAGAGTCACGCTTTTGTGGGTAGAGCTCTTGCCACTCCTCACATTCTTCCTTCATTCTCTTTAAATGTTGATACGATACGACTCTAATTTTGACCTAACTGTGCTTTGCTTTTCCCTTTTCCTTCTTCCTTATATATTTTTTTATACTTATTGATATATTTTTAAATATTTTTTTGTGTTTCAGTATTTATGAAATTCTGGTATTCAATCTGTAACTCAAATTGTAAGTTATTTTCTAAATTTTTCTTTCTGTTTTTTTCATAATACATTCATCATATCATTTGCATTCATAGCCGAAAATCAGTGTTTTGCACCCTTGAGTGATTCTTCGTACCGTCATCTTGGATTACCATTAAATTGTACAATATTCAATAGTATCGGTCTAAATAATCTGTAATAAATACTCCTTGTTATTAAACCTATATGTATGTACTAAGGTACAAATAAAAAATCATATCTATTTAATAAAATTATTTGCTTTACAACTATTATATTAGAACTATTACTTACACAATGCCTTATTTAGTAAACAATGATCTGCAAACTTAATATACCTCGTTTCACTCACACCTGTCACATGATGATTTCATATCCACCATTATCATTCACACGTTTGGCTAAATTAATCATCTAAAATAGCGAATTCACAATAAATGATAATCTTAATGGAATTACTAGAGCGTAAATGTACGCGATAAATTCATTACTCTAACGCTTGTATAGCTGAGTTTTAGTTTGAGGGTTGGGTTATGATACGTTATATTTTACATGGATGAGTTAGAATATATTTAATCAAATTAGGTATTATTTTGCGGAAGTCCAATTCCTAAAATTAATGTATAATAAAATATACTATACTATAGGTAATATATATATTATACCTATAGTATAGTATATTTTATACTATTATATATTATATTTTATATTTATACTATGGTATAAGTATACATGATGATGATGTTGAGATGACCTGTTGATCGTTTAATACTTATACAATGCATCTATTGTAAGAGTAACAATAATATTTTGCCATTTCTTCTCAATGAAACCTATTCTCGGAACTGACGAAATACGAAAAGCAGAATTACGTAATGTACCAATATTAATAAATAAAATTGATAATGTTTTAAATAATTATCAAGGTTGGCGAATTTGTCGTAACAAAAGTTTGGCTTTTACAATCGGATTTAACGAATTTGTCACGTCATATCCACTTGTTCCCCAAATGCGTCATTATTTCAGCCGAGCAAAAAGTTACGGCAATAGAAGCCAACATCAAAGCGCAAACTTTCCAATCATATCTCACCAAGCGCGAAAAAAATGCTCAGAAAAATTGAGGTTCGCAAAACTTTTTTATTTATCAAATCTGTAGCGCTAGATAGCGCAATATTGTCTCAAGTGGCTGTAAACCGCGGATGTGGGGCGAAGTTTGTCTTTGTGTACTGTGTGAGGATAGTGCAGTGGAGCTCGCAAGGCTTTTTGTATTTCACATACAACTGTATATTGCTACTGATGCAGTTACTATATGTATGTTATATCGTATTATCTATATATATAGGGCCTCGGTTTAGCACGGCTTGGTTAGCGGTGTCTCGCGGGTTCGATTCCTTGCACGGTGTAAACATTTGTGGTCATGGGATTTTATTAAACAGTTTATTTTAAACATTTATATCCACGTAAATAGACATTGCTAGTTCAACTAAGCTAAAATTATTCCCTATCTGATGCAGAACTAAGTCCGAAACAAAGACAAACTGTAATTACGGTGAATCACAAATTACTTGTTGAAATGTTGGTGACATATTAGAACGTGGAGTATATATCTACTATTTGCGCCCCTCGGTTTCACTCACCTAATTTAAAAGAAATAATGGCTAGCCTCGACCCCTCCCTGCATTGCATCACATCCGTCAGCGCAATTACTTCTCTTTCGTTTAGCATTCATTCTGATTTTTATTCTTTTTTCTTGGCTTCTAATGGTAGTTGTGTGTAATAATGCCTATTAACTTTCTGAAGAATTGAGCTATGTAATGCAAAATATTTTATTATATGACAGGATAAAATAGGCAGAGCTTGTGTTATGGGTATGGAAAACTGATACAAATACTTATATAAATACTTAGATATTTTATATATACATAGAAAACAACCAGACCGATACAAGCAATCGTACTCATGAATACAAATGTTTGTACTCATCGAGAAATCAAACCCGCGACCATCGGAATTAAAACGTTTCGCTAAACCTATAGACTATCGAAATCGTTTAAATTTTTAAATGCCAAATTCTGTTAATTGTTTAATATTTCAATTTTGTCAGGTGATCCAGAAGTTAGCAGTTCTGCGGTCAAAACTTTTGTTGGCCTAATTTGACTTGCAGGGCAATTACGTACCTCCACTGTCACTCAAAGTAATTACTCCATTACTAGTTTAGTAGTCTTTATCAAATAACCATTTTGTTGTTACGTATTCGCTGGTATGGAACTAAAATGACGTCAGAATTGTTGTTTGTTTCAACAATATTCATTATTTTGAAAACTAACTGTTACTCGTGTTTCTCTCTGTGTGGAATATATTTTATAATAGATTTTTTTTTAAATTAAACATTAATTTTAAATATAAAAGTAGCCTAAGCTGCTCCTTATAATATTAGCTATCTGCGAGTGAAAGTCCAGTGAAAGTCGGTCTAGCCGTTTCAGAGATTAGTAAGCATAAACAGACAGACAAAAAAATTAAAATAAAATTTTAAATTTAAGTATCATATATACTTTCATATGCATATAGTGAACGAGCTGTACATATATTAAGGAAAGTGTTACATATGAATGTGGATGGTTATAAGGGCAGAGGAAGGCCGAAAATGACAGACGACATGGTAAGAAAGGGAGTAAATAACGAGATGACTGTGAACAGGGACGAATGGAACAGAAAAACATATTACGCCGACCCCCAAAAAAAAGCGATAAGGAAGAAGCAGATGGAGATTTTAATTCGAAATTACAAACAGACACTACAATTTTATTTATTTGTATAGATAGCAGTATTATTCATTTTCATTGGATTTTGACATCGCTCCCACGAGGGATGTCGAACTTTGAATGTATTGCCGTTTCCCATTTACAATTTCAGTTCTATGTCAAAATTGGCTATTTCATATGTTTTCCGAAGATTTCCATCCTGTATTATGTAACTGGATTGGAAAAGATTGGAGATCTTTGGGGGAGGCCTATGTCCAGCAGTGGACGTCTTCCGGGGTACGATGATGATGATGATTATGATGATGATTGGAAAAGCATCACACCTGGTGGAAAGTGTCAATCTTCGCATAAATAGCGAAACTGACATTATAGGTATTAGACACCCTTGTATGGACACCCCAACATGGATTTGACAGACAAAGATTTTGTAATTCTGTAACTGTGATTAATATACATGATTAATAATAT